GGGTTGTGACCCCAGGGATAGAGAACATGCGATCCACGTGTATGGTGTGTGTGTGTTTGTGTACAGGAGAGAGAAAGAGACCCTCAGCAGGGCTTCATCGTGCCACGATTCCCTTCTCTCAGCCTTCCAGCTCCTCAAAATCTGGAGCAAGCACATGAGGAGGTGTTTCCAGGCTGACTTGGGATTCGAAACCATGGTCAGCCATGCGTTTCTGGGTGCTACTGAAACCACACACTGCCCTGCAGTTCAGTATGCTCTTCCTTGGCCACCAAGGCTGGGTCAAGGAGTTTTTTTTTTGTCCTATTGCTGTTGTTTGTTGTAATAGCTCACTTCCAAATATTGAAATATTTTGCATTCCTAGTTTAAAACGCCATTTTGGCTCTAGCCTTTGGTGTGGTGGTTGGGGTTGGTTGGGTCTCACAGGGCAGGACTGCATGTTTCTAGTCCCAAACCTAGGGGCTTGAGAAACCTCAGTGCGTCATGTCTGTGCCCAAAATCCCAAAAGGAGAGGGAAATGGAGGAGAAGGGGTTGTGGCATGACCATTCCCCATGGTCATGACCATTGTCACTTTGCCTGTCTCTCCTTCTCATTCTCTTTGTCTCTCTCTAGCATGCGCACATTGCCCTCTGGCAAGATTTAAAAAAAATAATAAACCCAATTTGATGTGGTTTTCTAATTTGGGGATATACCTTCTTAACATACTGTAGATGCTAAATCCTTGTTTATACAGATGAGGCTTGTCTGTAGTGCTGGTTTTTTCTGCTTCTTGTTTAGGCTTTGATTACCAGGATCACACCAGCTTTGTAAAACGGTTTAGAACACCTTCGTGTTATCCTGTACTTTGGAACAGTGCAGGAAATGGTTTGTTCTTTAAAAGTTGAAAGAATTGATAGTAAAACTGTCAGGGCCTGGAACGTTAAAAACAGTTTATTCTTTGTTTCTCTGCGGCGACTTTCTCAGTTTTGTCTGTGGAGGTTATTCTGGCCACATCATTTTCCTGGGCCAATTTGAGTAATTGTATGGTTTTCTGGAATTCCTACTAGTTCTTCACAATTTTCAGATTCATTACCACAGAGTGGAGTCTCCGACTCTTCCCACTTACTTCCCACGGTGCCTTTTCAGTTTGAAATAAGCAGCGCTAGTCCGGATGATCATTTTCAGCACGGTTGTGGTTTATTGTCAGAAACATGTCAGCAGCTGTTTGAGATGTGGAACCTGTAAGGGGGAAAAGGTGGCTTGTAAAGTAGGCGTACTCGGTTGATTTAGTAGTGAAGACTGAGACTAATCCTCACGTAGAAGAGCATGTGTCAAGGGTCCTGTGTGCTGGGTACAACTTGCATTACGGCCTGCTCCTGGATGCGGTGTCCCTGAGAGCCGTAACTGCAGGGACAGGAGGAGGAAGGACCTTACGCTGACGCATAATGAGAGGAAGTGGGAGTTCGGCTTCATTCCTCAGTAAAAATAGCACGGTCACATATGGCGATCCTTTGATCAGATGGTCCCTCCTTCAGTAAACAGCAGTGCCTTTTGCAGTTCAGCAGAACCTATTTCATAAAATTCTGCTGCTCTGTGTCTCCCAGGCTACACAAGGGAAATGGAGGAGAAGGGGTTGTGGCATGACCATTCCCCATGGTCATGACCATTGTCACTTTGCCTGTCTCTCCTTCTCATTCTCTTTGTCTCTCTCTAGCATGCGCACATTGCCCTCTGGCAAGATTTAAAAAAAATAATAAACCCAATTTGATGTGGTTTTCTAATTTGGGGATATACCTTCTTAACATACTGTAGATGCTAAATCCTTGTTTATACAGATGAGGCTTGTCTGTAGTGCTGGTTTTTTCTGCTTCTTGTTTAGGCTTTGATTACCAGGATCACACCAGCTTTGTAAAACGGTTTAGAACACCTTCGTGTTATCCTGTACTTTGGAACAGTGCAGGAAATGGTTTGTTCTTTAAAAGTTGAAAGAATTGATAGTAAAACTGTCAGGGCCTGGAACGTTAAAAACAGTTTATTCTTTGTTTCTCTGCGGCGACTTTCTCAGTTTTGTCTGTGGAGGTTATTCTGGCCACATCATTTTCCTGGGCCAATTTGAGTAATTGTATGGTTTTCTGGAATTCCTACTAGTTCTTCACAATTTTCAGATTCATTACCACAGAGTGGAGTCTCCGACTCTTCCCACTTACTTCCCACGGTGCCTTTTCAGTTTGAAATAAGCAGCGCTAGTCCGGATGATCATTTTCAGCACGGTTGTGGTTTATTGTCAGAAACATGTCAGCAGCTGTTTGAGATGTGGAACCTGTAAGGGGGAAAAGGTGGCTTGTAAAGTAGGCGTACTCGGTTGATTTAGTAGTGAAGACTGAGACTAATCCTCACGTAGAAGAGCATGTGTCAAGGGTCCTGTGTGCTGGGTACAACTTGCATTACGGCCTGCTCCTGGATGCGGTGTCCCTGAGAGCCGTAACTGCAGGGACAGGAGGAGGAAGGACCTTACGCTGACGCATAATGAGAGGAAGTGGGAGTTCGGCTTCATTCCTCAGTAAAAATAGCACGGTCACATATGGCGATCCTTTGATCAGATGGTCCCTCCTTCAGTAAACAGCAGTGCTTTTTGCAGTTCAGCAGAACCTATTTCATAAAATTCTGCTGCTCTGTGTCTCCCAGGCTACACAAGAGGGGAGGATGGATGGGCTTTAGAGCAGAGACCGCGTGGTTCCTGCGGAACGGTGAGAGGAGGATAAGCCAACACGATGGAAGTTGAAACGCCTTACTCTTTGGTAGATCGAATAGTTAATGTGAGTGCTTTCGGTGTGCTGAGAGTTTTCCATGTGTTGAAGTCATTTATGATGTTAAATGTGACCGAATGTTGGATTCTTTTATTTTGAATGTTGGATTCTTAAGTGAATCCTCCAGGAGCAATTTCCAGTGTATGCGTAGGTGCCATTTTTGTTTGTTTTTTTTCAGACTGTGTTCATGCTTCTCTGTCGCTTGGCTGGCCATCAGTGGTGTCTGTATGATCAGTAAACCCCTAGCTCACGCTTACTTCATGATTACTAACAACCATGAGATCTGTAAGACGGGTTCCACACACGAGGTTTAGTGAGTGCACAGGAGATGGTGAGGGACCCTGAACAAGGGTGTCGGGCAGGGTTTTCTAGAGAGGCGGCATCTCGGAGGGGATGGCATGGGAAGGACCTTCTGGGAAGAGGAAGGAGTGGCTGGTGGTCAGTATTTGGTAGAGCCTGGCCTCACCTGGGCTGTCTCTGTCGAGGACAAGGGAGTAGGAAGTGTGGGGAGGTTACTAGGGTCGTTGGAAAAGTTGTGACATGTTTTTGCATAGAAAAACAGAAAGATACTCCATGACTTTTCTGACAGCCCAGTGTATGACAAAGGACCTCCTTCAACCACACAGATCAATATGCAATGGAAGGCAGTTTGGACCTTCCGTGAATTGGAGCTTCTTTGAATTTCGGACTTTTCTGGCCCGATGAAGAAGGAGGCAGGTGGACAGATTCAGAAGGGCTATGGTGGGGTGTGTGCCTGTTGTGAATTTGGGTTGTATACTATATAGTGATTATACCTTCCACAGCCAGTGGTAGTAGTTTAGCAATGGAGACAATTCCAGAGCTGGTGGTATATGCCAGAAGGGAGAGGCTTATTATCTTCACGGCCAGCGATATTTTGAAGGCATTTATCTAAACTGTTTTCTTGGGCTAACTGAAATGTTACACGCAGGGTCTTCAAAATGTTCATGGAGGGACCAGCAAATAGCGTTACTGTTACTTTGCTGGACTCCCACATAGTTGACTGCGGTTTGAGCCCTAGACCCAGTGACTTAACACTCACCCTGGACAGGCATGCATGTGTGCCCAAAATCCCAGAAGAGAATGGAAGAGAAGGGACTGTGGTGTGGCCATGCCCCCTCAGGGTGATTTCTCAGTTTCTTCTCTTTGTCTTTTTCTGTCTGGTGAGCACACACACCTATAGTAAAATCTCTCAAAAAAAAAAAGTTTACAGAAAATGTGTGTTATGAAAAACTGAATGAATTTCAAGGGGTTTTTTTTTGCATGAAAATAAGCTCATAGTGTAATTTTTTCATGATCTTTTTGAAGCTCATTCATATATTTATTGGTATGCTCTTAATTCTAAAATCTTATTCTGAGAATTTTGTGCCTTTCAGCATTGCCATAAGTACATAGGACTAATGTAGTATCTTGGAGTTGGTTGCTGTTGTAGGAATCAGATATGTGTGTTTTTATAAACTGTAAATTAATTGTTAACAAAGTAGAGAATTATGTATTTGCAAACCATTGTACCCAGAGCCTCAGATGGAAAAATGGCAGGCCCTGGACCCACACCCGACTCCTTCTCTTGTTCATTCCTGAGACAGCCCTCCTGTTGTGGTAGTTACTGCTTGTAGGTTACACCCATCTTCCAAACCTGCGAGTGTAGACAGCCGTTCTGCCAGCAGTCAGTCTCAGTGGTCCCTCTCTAATACGGTGTCCTGTGCCCACACTTCATGGATGCTGTCATGCTTCTCTGCAGCTCACGCCCTCTTTGCTCCTCATCCCCTTTGCTGTGCCTTCAGGTCGTCCTCGATCTTCACTTAGGTGTGTTGCTAGGCTAGTAGGGACCTGTTACACCACTAATCAAACCCCCGTTGGGCCCTTCATATGTAAAGAAAGGATTATTTTTAGATACTTTTATTAGACAATTTTTAAGCTACAGTTGAGTATTTCAAGTGCACTAATTATTTTAAGCATTATGAAAACATTAATTGGAAGTAGCTATTGTGACTAAGAAGCATTTAAAATTATAACAATAAATTTGAAAGGGAATATATATTTTCTTTAACAGGTTACATACATTTATAAATAAATTCATTCAACAAATATTTATCAGTGTGTGTCCAGCACTGTTTCTAAATAGTGTATTTGCTTTATTGTATTCTTATTTGTCTGTGGTAAAGTGACTTACAAAATTTTCTTTTTTTTTTTTCTAGATAAAATTGAAGAAGCACAAAAAGAACTTAATGGGGCAGAAGTTTCAAAAAAAGGTAAATTTAAATCTGCACAAATATACTTTCTTATTCCCGCAGAGATGTCTGTACAGACATCTCCATTTGTAGCCTTCCTAAATCAGTGTAAACTTATCACAAAGTTAGGAATCACTTTAAACCAATTGATGCCTGAAATTTTATTAACTTTGCTTTATGAAATGTATTAGCTCTATGGTATATTCTCTAATAATTTCCCCCATGTTTATACTGAGTTGTCAGAAAAGCTGTGATGCATTTTTGAATAGAAAAACAGAACAAATAAGTCATGACTTTTCCAACTACCCGACAGATTGCTGTTAGGAATGGGAAAGGTTGTTGCTGCTCTTTTGAAAATCCTGTTTGCGAGACTGTCCTGTAGCAGGAGAGCAGGCTGTGTTGGCCGTGCTCACGCTCGTGTGCAACGCGAGTGTCCTGTGAACAGCATCGTCTTTGGAGTGCCAAAAGCTCAGGACACCTGAAACGGCTTGAATGCCAACCAGTATAGAGGAGTTGAATATACTGTAGTACTTTAATGTACACATGTATATTTTTTAGAGAGATTTTTGCTATAGGGTACGTGTGCTTGCTGGAGAGACAGAGAGACAGAAAGCAAGAAATCATTCCCCCTTGGAGACCAGCAGTTAGCAAGAATTGACACAGGGAGACCAGCAGATGGTGTAATGGTTTTGTTCCTGGACTCCCATATAGTCGACTGTGGTTTGAGTCCCGGACCCGGTGGCTTAAATTCACGCCAGGTGCGTGTGTGTGCGTGCCCAAGATCCTGAGAGGAGAATGGAGGAGAAGGGATTGCGGCGTGGCCATACCCCCTGGGGGGTGATTTCTTGCTTTCTATCTTTCTGTCTCTGTCTGTCTGTCTGGCGAGCACACACACTATAGAAAAAAAAAAAAAAAAACAACTCACCAAAAAAAAAAACCAAAAAGAAATCATTCCCCCAGTGAGGATGACTGTGCTACAGTCCTTTCTCCTCAGTTCTCCTTTTGGGATCTTTGGCATGCACACTCACACGCCCGGTGTGAGTTTTAAGCCACTGGGTCTGGGATGCGAACCTCGGTCGACTACGTGGGAGTCCAGCGACATAGCCATTATGCTAACTGCTGGTTCCCTCTTTCCTTTTAAAAATATATTTGAAATCTCATTCAATTATTGAATAGATAACTTTGGGGAAATAATTTCCTGCTGTCCCAGTCCTCCATCTCTTAGACCAACCTGTGAAGCCTACATTTTGGGGGGATTAGTCTTAATGTGTGGGCTCTTTAGAAAGTACATGGAAAATGAGTAGTTTGGAAAAGCTATCAATGGGTTTCAAAACTTTCGGCATCATGGGGCCAGCACTTAGCGTAATGGCTATGTCACTGAACTCCCATGTAGCTGACTACGGTTCAAGTCCTGGAGCTGGTGGCTTAAACTCACGCCAGGCGCGTGTGCGTGCGTACCCAAGATCCCTAGAGGAGAATGGAGAAGGGATTGCAGCATGGCCATCCCCCCTGGGGGGTGATTTCTCATTTTCTATCTCTCTGTCTCTCTTTGTCTTTGTGGCAAGCGCATGCACCCTATAGCAAAACCTCTTTAAAAAAAAAAAATCTTTTGGCCTCCTAATCAACTCATGCTTTAATTGCATTTCCTCACAAGTATTTGTGGGAAATACTCTTGTCCTCTTGCATTTGTGTGGTCACGCCAACATCCCTAAAGTGTCTCCCTTCTTCTCCAGCCCAGCCTCCTTCCATGGGAACTCTGGAAGGTCTCTGTCAGAACTGACCCTTTAATGACATTCTTGCAGAAAAGCATGAGTAGAAAGAGAAGTTGCCCCAGCCATGCAGCCCCTTCCAAAGGTTATCTGAGAATTCTCTCCCCAGCCATGGAGGACACTCGAGTTATAAGAGGCCTTACTCTTTAAACTTCCTTTGTCATCATCAGCCTTTTTAACATCTAGTCACGATTTAAAGCTGCTTCAAGTAGCAAAATAAATGTGAGCTTGTCTTCCTTTTCCTTCTTACTCCTGTGGCAAAGAGTTTTCAGAACCAAATGTCTGATAGGAAGGAGGAAATGGAACAAAGGTTCTAGGAAAAGAAATTGGATAATGAGGTTCAGAATAATTGAGGGGGCTCCAGTTGGCAGGCTACACTTATTTAAGACTTCGCATGAATACCAAGCAAGCATTGTTCTGCGCCTCCACTGCTTGGGATTACTACTGGCTTTCATTTTTACACACAAATTCTGGAGAAATTAAAATAGTTTTTCTTCCAAATATAAGTAAAGAATAATATCAGTTCCTTTTTTAACAGCATGAAAAAAGTCTTTGATAACAAACATGTTGTCGTTTTAAAAATCTTTTCTTTCTGAATTACCTATTTTTTTAAGGAAATTCATTTCTTCAAAGATACACTTTAAAAATAGTCATGTATCATTTTTAGATTTCAACGAGTCCGTATGATAGATCACTTTTTCACTATTCTGACTTGCTTTTAGTCTTTTTTTTACTTTGACAGTTTGGCCGAATTTTTTTCTTCTTTTTGGTTAAACACTGTTAATGCTTTGTCTCCATTGACGCTTCTGTGGTCCTTGGCTCAAATGAGGTCTTTTTTCCAGGGGCAAGTAACTAAATCATAGCCAGAAGTTACAGCAAAAAAGTTTTTGCTCATTAATAGATCTTCTTTAATTTTTAATGTATATATTTGGGTTGTCCAATAGGGCACATGCACTTGCCAGAGAGAGAGTGAGAGAAACAGACAGAGACAGAGAGAGGGAAAGTGAGAAATCACCTTCCAGGGGGCACGCATGCAGAGATGCCTGGCATGAGTATCAAGCCACGGGACTTGAACCATGGTTGGCCATGTGGGAGTCCAGTACCTTCACTGCCACCTGCTGGTCTCAGCATTAATAGATTTTTAAATGTTCCTTTTTTTTTTTTTTTTTTTAATAACAGTTTAAGGAAGGAGAAATCTGTTTAGTATACTAAGTAACATAGAAACTGGCTTCGTTTATCATATACCAACAGAATAAAAAAGCTCACTTTCATTACTTTATTCACTTTTTCTGCTTGTGAATGAATCAGATGGTTTTCATTTGGTTTGTTTTGTTTTAATCCGTTTAATTTTAATCAGGATAGATAGAAGCATTCAGCATTCACACAGTTCTTCGTACTGTCATTATATTCTTCTTTACAGTTCTGTCTACTTATTCTGAACACGCAGTGTGCTTGACACTATTTTTAAAAATTATTGAACGGGATTTAAATAAAATAGTAACTCTCACAGATGTGGTAATGGAATGTGAATAAGCCGAGAAGAAATAAATAGATCAATTAAGAGAGCTTTATGTGCTATTCTTGAATAAGCTTTAATATTTTGTTTTAATTTGTTATCATATACTGTTTGACACTTAAATTAATATCTGTAACATATTAAATTATAAAGCGTAACCGTAGTATGGTAAGCTCTGGTTCTAGCACCCAGGGAAGGAACTGGCCTGTTGCCAGTACCGTTCTGCCTGTTTTATTCCACCATCTCTTCTGCAGAGGTGTTTACTATCCTCAGTTTGTGTTGGTCTTTTTTCAGTGGGGCCAGTAGGTGGCATGGTGGTTAAGGCACTGGATCTCATATGACTGACTCTGTGGTTCAAGTCTTGAACCCGGCAGCTTGAAAAACATGCTGGGCACGTGTGCATGCATGCCCAAAATTCCAAGAGGAGAATAGAGGGGAAAGGATTATGGTATGGCCCACATCTGGGGGGAAGGGGTTGATTTCTCACTTTTCCTCTCTCCTTCTCTCAATCTTTCTCTGCCTCTCTCTGGCAAGCACACACACTCTATAGCAAAAGTATAAGAATAATAATGATATACAAGCTTTTATCCCCTGAACAATGTGTTTTAGTTTTACCTGTATTTGACTATAAAAAATGAAATGTTATGTAGTCTTTGTAACTTTTGTTCATTCAGCATCATTTGTAAGATTCATCCTTATTGTTCCATGTACCTTCTTTTCATTGCTTAATAACATTCCGTGGCACTAAGTGATGTGTTTGTCTATTCTTCTGCTGATGAATTCGAGTTACTTTTACTGTTTTTGCTCTTACAGACAGTGCAGCTATGAATATTTTTATACCCTCATGCCCATGTGTGATCTTTCTAGGGAATGTGGGTATTCTGCTTTGCAAAATGATGCTAAATTGTTTTCCAACGTTTTTTGGTTTATTTTTTTATGCCAGAGGGTGTGTGTGCATGCAAGAGAGAGAACTTCTGTTCTTTATTATCTTCTCCCTCTTTTTCTTTGGGTTTATTCTGTCACATTTTTTAAGTTGAGAAATTGGCTCGCTCATTTTTAAGCCTTTGTCTCTGTTGGAATCACTTAAAGTTACTAATTTCCCTCTATTGCTTTAGATTCATCATACAAAAGTTTATATTTGCTAGTTTCATTAATTTCTATGATGGTTTCTTCTTAAAATCCCCTTGTTAAAATGTTTTTTCTTCTACGTGGATGAGATGAGATTTTATTTACTTACATTTAGTGGTTTATGTCTTAAGTACATTAGGATATTTTTTCAGAAAACCATTCAGCTATCTAAAATGACATTCCCTCTGTTTCTGAATACTGTCTAATCAGAATTTACAGTGTTCTACCAAGACAGTCCCAGGTTTTATTTAGAATTTTATACATTTAGTCTAGGTTTTGTTTAAAAATTCATAAATCACCAGTTTGCAAAGATGAAAAAGCTGAAGTGGACAGACATTAAATGACCTTACCCATAGGAGTGCAACCAGAAAGTGTCTGGGGGAGGATTTGAACCCAGATCTTGGGTTGTGCCACCCTAATATTATGCCCAGCGTAGCTTGATCAGAGCTGTGTGCTGCTGAAGGTTGAATCCCTAGAAGAGTTTTTCCTGCTCTGAATTTTCCTTTTGAGTGATGAGATTATGATAGCAGTCACCTCCAGAAATGTTGTGGCAATTCAGGAAAAATAGTTGGGATTTAGACAATGTCACTAGAGAACGCTGAGGGTTT